CGTCAACATAAAAAGCGGAGAAAATATCAGAGGGAAGGGATGAAAGAAGACCATTGAGGGCAACCAGGAAAAGAATAGTGTTTAGAACACTACCTTGGGGCACACCTTAGTATTGCCGAAAAGAGGCAGAGAGAGCGGTACCAAGCCACACTCGAAAGGAACGACGAGAGAAGAAGCGATGGAGATTACCACAGAGGCCAAAAGAAAGGAGTTGGGATAGAATATGGTACCGCCAGGTGATTTCATACGCCTTTTCCAGGTAAAAAAGGACAGCAACAACGGAGGTCTTCGCAGCAAAGGCAATTCAAATATAGACCTTCAAGTTCACGAGGACATCAGTCGTGCTGCAACACTTGCGAAAGCCTAATTGAGAAGGGAAGAGAAGGTGATAGCGTTCCAAAAACCACATCAGACGGACATTGACCATATGCTCAAAGAGTTTGCAGACGCAACTCGAGAGAGCAATGGGGCGGAAGTCTTTAGGAAATGGCCGTAGAGAACCAGGCTTCCGAATAGGAAGGACAACCGCCTCAAGCCAGTCCTCAGGGACTGATGACGACTCCCATACACGGTTGTAAACACTTAGTAAATACTGAAACGTGCAGAAAGGGAGATGGTGAAACATCTGATAATGAATATCATTTGAACCCGCCGCCGTAGAACCACAGAGGGCCAGGGCAGACTGGAGTTCTGAGAGAGAGAAAGGATCATTATAGGGAAGCTGAAGAGAAGTGCAAAAATCTAAGGGAGAAGATTCAAGAAGGGGCTTACGTGTAAGGAAAGAACGAGGAAGATGAGAGCCGGAGCTAACAGTCGACAAGTGAGAACCCAGTTTGGTCGCGACCGACACCGGATCCGCCACAATAGAACCACAGAGGTGAAGGACTGGCGAGACATCTGGAACAAACTTACCTGCTATCTTGCGGATTTTCTTCCAGATAAGGGGCAGAGGAGTGTCAGACGTAATGGTGGAAACGAAAGATCTCCAACCCTCACGTATAGCCTTATGGAAGGCCCGTAGGGCCATGTAAGGTTTAACAGCCCTTCGAAATAAAACAAAAGAAATGGGCATCCTACGATGACGGTGTTTCTTCCAGGCTGCATGCTTACAGTAGACAGCCCAACCAGAATCTGCGTTCCACCAGGGAACGCACTTCCGCACGCATCTGGAGGTAGAGCGAGGAACAGAGCAGAGGGCAGCATAAAAATTGGTGTCATGAAAGAGGAGGGCTTGGGAAATCAGCATATCAGAGAGGTCGGAAAGAGTAGCGTGCAAGGTGAAGAGGTTCCAGTCAGCCCTGGCAAATTGCCACCTAGGGAAGAAGAGGGGAGGGGATAAAAGAGAAGGTGACAAGGATGGGGAAATGGTCACTGTTATGTAGGTCCTTAAGAACCCGCCAGGTGAAGTCCAAGTAAAGAGAAGACGAGCAGAGAGAAAAATCAAGACAGGAAAGGGTGTGAGTGCGGAAATCAACATGAGTGGGCTCTCCAGAATTCAGAAGACACAGTGAAGAAGAGAGGACAAAAAAAGGTTCAAGAAGGCGGCCCCGGGTGTTTGCCAGAACATCACCCCAGAGGGTATGCCGACAGTTAAAATCACCCGAAAGGAGCACAGGCTCTGGGAAGGAGTCCAATAGATGTTTAAGATCAGGAAGAGAAAGTGGGACATTCAGCGGGAGATAAATGGAACAGATGGTATACCATTTACTCACAAAGATACGGGCTGCAGAACACTGAATGTTCAATTGAAAAAGTAAGGGGACGAAGGGAATATCAAGATGGATCAAAATAGCAGTTGAGGTATGAGCCCCAGGAAGAGCTGGAGGGGAAGACAGAACGAAATAACCACGGAAGCGACCAAGACGAGCGCTAAGCATCGGCTCCTGGAGACAAACACAAAGATTGGAAAACTGTGCGATCAGAAGTTGGAGTTCATGGAAGTTGGCATAAAAACCACGAATATTTCATTGAAGAACAGACATAGACAAAAAAGAGAACAGAAACAGAGATAATAAGGGAGAAATAAAGGCAAAGTAGAACACAGTAGACTAAGGAATAACACATCAAAATCAGTGAAATCAAGGTAACGGGGCAGAGGTAAAGTTAGCAAAGATAACTGAGACAAGGGCAGGGAAGGAAACTATCAGGGGAAAGCGCCAAGTCATGACAACTATATAGCACTTGGAAGGGGTCAGGATAAGGATTTGAGATGGGACAGGGGGGATGGAATGGTGCCCAACCACTTGGACGGTCGGGGATTGAACGCTGACCTGCATGAAGCAAGACTGTCGCTCTAACGTCCAGTCCAAGTGGTTGGGAGTGGGAGGATGGACCAGAGGCGAACAGTACAGAGTCCGAAATGGGAGGAGGCAACGAAGAGGAGCGGTCAAGGGAATCGGAGGCTGGAAGGACAAACAGGCGAAGGCATCGAGCGCAAGGGCAGCATCCAAGAGAGGATCAAGGACCAAGGAAACCTCCATAGGAGGGACAGGAGACCCCCGACACTGAAGAGGGAGGGGAAGCAGGGATAGTGTTGGAGTCGGAAGGTGAGGAATACATCAAAGCCTTCTTACCCGCCAGTGAGGAAGAGAGGAGCCAGGCTTACGCTTCTGACGTAGAGAGAGACAGACGTACCATCAACAATATACTGGGCGACCGCCTCGACAGTTTCAACAGGAGAAGGAGAATGGGAACGGGCAATATGACGAACGCTGGGAGGAGGATGGACAATGGCCTGAACAGATAGGCGGCGAGGAGGACCAAGAGACAGAAGGGAGGGCTCAGAAGGTGTGGGGCGAGAAGGGAAGGAGGGCACAGTAGACGAGGAAGGCCGGGAAGGAAGGAAGGAAGGAAGGAAACACCAGACGGAGAACCAGGAGGATCCTCTGGCCCAGAACGCAAAGGAACAGACGGAGCAGACGAGGTGGTGGTGGAGGTGTCGGGGGCCTAAGGCCTGGAAACGGTTGCAAAACTGAGAAAGCGGGAGAGGGCGAGAAGGAGGCGAACGCAATACACGAGCATAAGACATGCCAGTGAAAGAGGGAAGACGGCGAAACCTGGCGCCTAGCCTCAAGAAAAGACAAATTATCACGATGCTTCAAATTGAGGATGACTTCCTCAAATTTGTAATGCGCATATGCGCGGGAGAAGGTAGGATGGGCGTCACCGCAATTGATGCAGAGAGTTTGGGAAGAAGTGCGCTCTGTCTTGGAATGACCCGAGGGTCCACACAAGGGGCAGAGAGAGATCTCACTTTTGCACCTGAAGGGACCATGCTCAAATCTCCAGCACCTGCTGCAGAGGCGAGGAGAGGGGGGGATGTACTCCTGAGCAGAGAACTTGGCACCAGCAAGAATGACTGAAGAGGGAAGGGATCTACCATCAAACGTGACCTTCACAACGCAAAGAGATTGATGGCGAAGACCACGAAGGGATCGAGTGAATGTATCCACCTGGAGGACAGAATGACCTTGGGCCTCAAGGATATACTTAATATCCTCCTGGCAATCTTTAAGTTCCCTATCACCAGTCGCAACATGGTGCAGGAGAAGAATTGTGCCAATGCAGGCATTCAACTGGGCATTTTTGGAGATCCGAGCAGGGGTCTCTCCAATGTAGGACAACGCAGCCAAGCGGGCAGCTGCTTCCTGATAAGGGGCTGCTACAACATGGGTACCAGTACGGGTAGGGTTAAAGGTGACAAAACTATCCACTGAATCAACAAGGTGCTTATGGAGAAATAAATCATCAGGACGAGTAGGGTCAACATGACTATGGTCAAAATACTTATTCCATGTAGCAGGACCAAACAAAGCCTGGAAAGGAAATTGTGAAGGAATCAAGTGCGAGTGAGTGCAGAGGTGACGACGCCGATTACCCCCAGTAAGAGAGGGGGTAAAAGGCGCAGTTATGACAACTGGAGACGGAGCCACGCCAGGTGATGAGGTTATCACCACTGGGGGCGTGGAGCTAAACCTTGCCACTGAGGTGGGAGGGAAGCGGAGAGAGAGGCAGTTAGGAGAGTCCGAGAAGGAACATGGTCAGGGGCCCAATGTAGCGGGGCTACAGAGCCCGGCCATCCAACACAATCTAACTCGGGGGGGGGGGGGGGGGGGGGGGGGGAAGGGGGTGGGGCTAGGTCCGAGCTAGGCCCCCAGACCCATCATGGAGCCATATTTAGAGGATAGGACACCTGACAAGACGGGGCCTCCCAGGGGTGCATCGTGAGTATACACCCCCGCAATCGCCACCTTAAGAACCGTCAGTCCGTCAAGATTGGGTTCAGCAATGAAGGCGAGGATTGACAATAAAAGTGTGTTCTCGCTTGCAACGTTGGTTACCACAGTTCTTCGGGTGAGAGTGTGCCTCCCCAAACACCCGGGCGTCAAAACAGAAGTAGTCCAAAAGAATAATCAAGAATGGCAAAAGATCGGCGGGAAAGACAAAGAGAAGAGGGGAGAGGAAAAATGAAACATATGGAAACGGAAAAAGCCATCCAACACAATTAGTGAAGATGGCAGCAGGAACATAAGGCTTCAAAAGGACAGAGGACCGTCCCATAAAGCATCACATCCCGGCAGCCACCTTACGATGACAACGGGCTGGAAAGGAAGAGGGAGAATTAGGGGTAATATGATTAAAATGTATAAAATAAGATGAAAGAGTAAATACCCCCCCCCCCTTGATATCCAAAGTGTTAAATATATAAAAACAAAACAGATCATGAAACAATGGATATAAATTGGATAAAATTAGATTCAGGGAAGACCTGGGTAAATAATGATTTGGAAACACGGTTGTTGATTTATGGAACAGATTGCCGGGTACAGTATTTTTTTTTTTTTTGCATATGCGAAAGCATGCTACATAACTACCATAAAAACAAATACAAAAAAGAAACCAACGACAAAAGTGCAAGTTACAAAGGAACATAACAATAATCTCTAAGCCATACCAACATAAATACATGAAAACACAAATACAGAAGTATTTTGCAACAGGTTCATTTAAAAAGACAAATACACAAGTCGACACAAAAGTATCACACGTTACAAACAATACACATGAACAATATAAAGGCCTGAAGGGCTCACAACAAGAACAGCAATCGAAACACATCAATATGCCAAAGGCAAGGGATATATGCGAGAATTCAATGCCTACACATATTTATGTTGATAATCCTTTTCCGGAAACCGCAAACAGTACGTCTCCCAAACGATCCGCTCATCTTCCTGAGGATGACCGCCAGACGTCCCCGAGCACGACACACCACAGGGACCCAAACTCGCAACGGACCGCCGGGTACAGGTTCGACCATCTTAGGAACTACCACAAGTTCATGGACCACATCATCTTCCACAGGGGAGGGGACAGCACCCCCAACTTCGTGGAGCCCACAACGGGAGGCACGGGGAAGAAAGGGCACAGGAACCAACACAGAGCTCCCCACACCAGCACCTGTATCCGTCGCATGGACATCCACCACCACCACCTCCGAGACCACCGGAACATCACCAGTCATAGACCCCTCACCGCCAAAAGACACGTAGCTCACAAAATTCCCCACATCTGCGCAGGGGTGACCATCCGAGGCCAAAACAGATCAAGAGCGCCACGAGCGCTTAGGGTTAGGGCACAGGTCATTCGAGCTCTCCACCCCCACAGAATCGGACTCCCGAGCGATGCTGGGAGTCCACGACCTAGCACGGGCACGCAAAACCTCAGCGGCGGCTATGACGGGGGGGGGGGGGGGTTGGCCCAAACACAACAGGAGGCCGCGACCCCCCACACTTTACTTTCATGCCAGGCAGAAGAGGCGCGCAAGCCGAGACGTGAGCCACGGGAGAATAAGGCACAGCAGCTGCAGAAGTGGGAGGCGTGGGAAGGTCGACCCGCCGAACCACACCCACACCGACAGCACTCACAGCAGCCATAGAAGGCGCAGACGACGACGGCACGGCACCCGGCATCCGATCCTCACTAGCTGCAGGTTCACTACGTACACGCACACCATTCAAGGGCACACCCACACCCAAACCCTCCGAAATATCTTCAACAATCAGTGGGGAAAAGTCCTCCTCACGGAATAGATTAACGTGGTCGACGGCGCCCACAGAGCACCCTGTAGCCATGTGGCCCGACAACCCACAACTACTGACCTGATGACAGCACTACTGACTTGGTGACAGCACCACTGACCTGTACGCTGGGTCCAGGCAGTTGACGGTTGATAGCAACTAACGGTCTGGCCACTCTGTCGCCGGCCACACACTCGGGACGGGAGCAGTCAGTGAGGTTGTGGGGGCAGTCGAAGCAGGCGCGACTCATGGTGTGGTACTCCTGGAGGTGGAAGGTGTAGCGGCAGGTGCGGGTGTCGCCGGCCACGCGCACTCTCTCACACTCATGAGCGCCGTCTGACATCATTACATGGCCAAGAATTTGCTCTCGTTAATCTTAAATGATTCTCACATTCAATATAAGTCGTACAGGGCCTGACTAGCAGTAAAATTTATATACACCATTTTCGTACTTACCTTTTTGTATGGGGCTAGACAGCTGAGTGGACAGCGTTTGGGATTCGTAGTCCTAAGGTTCCGGGTTCGATCCTCGGTGGAGGTGGAAACAAATGAGCAGAATTTCTTTCACCCTGATGTCCTTGTTCACATAGCAGTAAATAGGTACCTAGGAGTTTGTCAACTGCTACGGTCTGCTTCCTGGGGGTGTGTAACAAAAAAGAGGTCTGGTCGAGGATCGGTCTGCGGGGACGTTAAGCCCCGAAATTATCTTAAGATAACCTCCAGATAACCTTGCGTTGATTTCGGAGCTCAACGTCCCCGCCGCCCGGTCTGTGACCAGGCCTCCTGGTTGCTTGACTGGTCAATCAGGCTGTTGGACGTGGTTGCTCGCAGCCTGACGTATGAATGACAGCCTGGTTGATCAGGTATCCTTTGGAGGTGTTTATCACTTGAACACTGTGAGGGGTCGGCCAGTTATGCCCCTTATGTATTGTGGAAGCGTGTTGAATAGACTCGGCTGTCTGATGTTGATCAATCTCTCTCAGAGTACCTATTGCACCTGTGCTTTTCAACGGGGGTATTCTGCATATCCAGCCATGCCTTCTGGTCTCATGTGGTATTATATCTGTGTGCAGATTTGAGACCAGTCCCTCTAATAATACTTTCTGTGTAAATTATTATGTATCTCCTACCTGCGCTCTAGAGAATACAGATTTAGGCATTTTAGACGGTCCCAATAGTTTAGATGTTTTACTGAGTGGATTCCAGCAGTAAAGGATCTCTGCACGATCTCCAGGTCAGCAATTTCTCCAGCTTTGAAAAAAGGCTGCCATTGTGCAACATTATTCCACTCTAGAGAGCACTAGCGTCTTGAAAATTATCATCATTAGAATAGCATCTCTTTTTTTGAAAGGTTCTTATCATCCAGCCTGTGATTTTCTTGCAGTTGTGACGGCTTCTTTAATGTGTGCTTTATAAGTAAGTTCTTCTGACATTAATACTCCCAAATCCTTTACATTGCTATTTCGTTCTACAGTATGATTTGACTGCATTTTTTTACGTGGTTTCCGTTTTTATATTATCATTTTTTCCATATCCATTTTCCATATTATCATTTTTTCCATATCATTCATTTTCCATATTATCATTTTTTCCATAACTTATCTTCTTTAAATACATAATTATTTTATGTGGTCCATTGAAAAACCTGATTTGCATCAGATTGGAGGTTTGCTGCGTCCTCTATGTTGTCTACTCTAATAAAAGTGTCATCTGTACCGTATCATCTGCAAAGGATGATACGGTACTACAGTTCTTGTCCTTTCTATGAGAAATGAGAATAAGGAAGAGTACTGGAGCAAGCACAGTACCCTGGGGGACTGAGCTCCTCACGGTTAATGATCCAGATTTTATTTTGTTGACTATTACAAATTGGGTTCTGTTAGGAAATTGTAGATTCATCTCTCTATTTTCCCGGGAATTCCTTTTGAACACATTTTGTGTGCAATAAAACCATGGTCACTTTTTGCGAAATCTGTGTAAATTACATCAGCGTTTTGCTTGTCTTCCATGGCATCTAAGGTCATGTCAAAGTGGTCCAGCAACTGTGATAGGCAAGAGCGCCCCATTTTGAAACCATGTTGTCCAGGGTGATGGAGACGCTGTGATTCCATGTATTTTGTAATCTTATTTCATGGCTCAGGTTATAGTTACATCACATACATTTAATGTATTGTAGGGCTTGGGGGGAGAGAATTTTTCCACTGTGCTTTAGTCAAAAGCTTTTGGGCTTGCCTAGAATGTTTTTTGATTGTAAGTTTTAATCTCTATCCAAGGGAGATTCTGTTCATGGAGTAAATGTCAATAGGCAATGCCAGGGGGATTTGTTATGAGTAGTAGATTCTGTGATCATAAAGCCAATTTATTTATTTATTTATTTATATACAAGAAGGTACATTGGGTTTGTGAGAATACACAGCATAGTATTTACAATCTTGTAAAGCCACTAGTACGCGCAGCGTTTCGGGCAGGTCCTTAATCTAACAGATAATTTTAAGTAGGTATATTCTAGCAGAATTAATAAAATGATAACAGATACATTGCAAGAAAAAAATGAGATGAGAGAGATTAGTAAGTATAGTAAAGCACATTGATATATTAAAGCTCTGATTGATTACATTGACAACTTGATTGGTAATTTAAACAAGATTAATAGACACCATACAGCAGATTGATAGCGCATATAAGAAGACAGCAATGATCACACTGGTAAAGATTTTCAGATTGGGTACATAAGGATTGGGAGATTGCGTAGCAATAGATACAGTGTAATTTTAAAGTAAAAGGTAAAAAACTATGAAGATGGAATTAGGTACTTTTTAGTTTTGTTTTTAAATGACGCAAAAGTTGGACAGCTTTTCAATTCAATAGGGAGTGAGTTCCATAGACTGGGTCCCTTTACTTGCATAGAGTGTTTACACAGATTAAGTTTGACTCTGGGGATATCAAAGAGATATTTATTTCTGGTGTGGTGATAATGGGTCCTATTGCATCTGTCCAGGGAGAGTTTCAGAGCAGGATTTGCATTTAAGAACAGGGTTTTGTAAATGTAGTTGACATAAGAGAATTTGTGGAGTGAGATTATGTTTAGCATGTTTAGGGAGTTAAACAAGGGGGCTGAGAAGCAAATTTGTTATTATTCTGATAGCAGATTTTTGCTGGGTGATGATGGACTTGAGGTGGTTTGCAGTGGTTGAACCCCATGCACAGATACCATAATTAAGATAGGGATAGATTAGTGCATAATATAGAGAGATGATTGGATTCAATAATGATGGAGTTTACGTAAGAGGTAATTGTGATTACCAGTATCAAAGGCCTTTCTCAGGTCAATGAAGAGTCCAATCGGAAACTCATTTTTGTCAAGGGCTGAGTAAATTATATCAAGGAGACTAATAATTGCATCGTTGGTACTCTTTTGGGAGTTGTAAGTAAGCAGATATGTTGTAAGTATACAGTCAACTGTATAAAGCACAATAGTGGTTGGGTTACTGGTAGATCACAAACTATTATTATTAGTAATATTATTTACCACCACAGACTATTAAGAGTCCTCCACAAGTGAACAGAGTACCCAGCATACTCAGTCCTCCACAAGTGAACAGAGTACCCAGCATACTCAGTCCTTCTCAAGTGAACTCTCGCAGTAATAGTTCAGTCGCTCTCAGTTGCTGAGTAAAGTATGACATAAAAAAAATACTAATAATTATTTATTAAATTATGAGTTACTTATTAAAGCATAAAATTCTCTTTACAACTTCAAAAGATTTGCTAAGAAACTAATTTATATAATTTCTGCCTCACAATACTTTCGCAAATTACTTTACAAATGTTACAATGAATTGCTTAGAAAACGTTATAAATTATTCGACATAAAATGTTATGTTATTTGAGCTAGAAGGCTACAAGATAATTATTCGTGTTGCGCAAGACGGCGGGGAGCCGCAGGCTGGCTCCAAGGTGACGGAGATGGGGACAGGTGTGTCAGACGCCAGGGAGAGTGTTTAGAGTCTACATGGTAACACCGCCCAGAGCATGGTAACACCACCTGGAGCATGGTAACACCACCTGGAGCATGGTAACACCACCTGGAGCATGGTAACACCACCTGGAGCATGGTAACACCACCGGGAGCATGGTAACACCACCTGGAGCATGGTAACACCACCGGGAGCATAGTAACACCACCGGGAGCATGGTAACATCACCTGGAGCATGGTAACGCCACTGGGAGCATGGTAACACCACTGGGAGCATGGTAACACCACCGGGAGCATAGTAACACCACTGGGAGCATGGTAACACCACCGGGAGCTTGGTAACACCACCGGGAGCTTGGTAACACCACCGGGAGCATGGTAACTCCACCTGGAGCATGGTAACACCACTGGGAGCATGGTAACACCACCGGGAGCATGGTAACACCACCGGGAGCATGGTAACACCACCTGGAGCATGGTAACACCACCGGGAGCTTGGTAACACCACCTGGAGCATGGTAACACCACCGGGAGCATGGTAACACCACCGGGAGCATGGTAACACCACCGGGAGCATAGTAACACCACCGGGAGCATGGTAACACCACCTGGAGCATGGTAACACCACCGGGAGCTTGGTAACACCACCGGGAGCATGGTAACACCACCGGGAGCATGGTAACACCACCGGGAGCTTGGTAACACCACCGGGAGCATGGTAACACCACCGGGAGCTTGGTAACACCACCTGGAGCATGGTAACACCACCTGGAGCATGGTAACACCACCGGGAGCATGGTAACACCACCGGAAGCATGGTAACATCACCGGGAGCATGGTAACACCACCGGGAGCATGGTAACACCACCTGGAGCATGGTAACACCACCGGGATCATGGTAACACCACCTGGAGCATGGTAACACCACCTGGATCATGGTAACACCACCGGGAGCATGGTAACACCACCGAGAGCATGGTAACACAGTATCCAAGGAGCATTGTAACACCACCAGTCTCCCAGGAGCATGGTAACACCACCAGTCTCCCAGGAGCATGGTAACACCACCAGTCTCCCAGGAGCATGGTACAATGAAATGTGTAACACGAACCATTATTCTAGAGGAAGTAACAAAGTCAGTAGACTGTCACACGTTGTCACAGCTGGAATACGTCTTGGCTTCAAGTATCTCTGGCTTGTTTGGTGATATGGATGACGTACTCTCCTAATTCTGCTTAAAGGGGTTGAGCTTCGGCTCTTTGGCCTCGCCTCTCAACTGTCACTCAACTGATGTATAGATTCCTGAGCCTATTGGGCTTTATCATATCTTCATATGAAACTGTTTATGGAGTCAGCCTCCACTACATAACTCTCTAATACATTCAATTTGTTAACTACCCTGACACTGACAAAATTATTTATAATGTCTCTCTGGCTCATTTGGGTACTGACTTTCCACCTGTGTCCCATTATTCGTGTTTCTCCTATGTTAAATAGTTTGCTTTTATCCACCCTGTCAATTTCACTGAGAATGTTGTAGGTGGTGATCATGTCTCCCCTAACTCTTCCGTCTAAACCTCACGTCTTCCAGGGACGTGAGGTTTAGCCCCGGTAGCCTTTCCTCGTAAATCATACCTCTCAGTTCTGGGACTAGTCTGGTGGATGTCTGGATCTTCTCTAAAGTTGTCTCTGTTTAACTAGGTATGGACTCCAGGCTGGAGCTGCATACTCCGGGATTGGTGTTGACAGGAAGTGTAAAGTGTGCGGACAGAAAGAGGAATACACAACTAGGTGAGTACAACTAGGTGAGTACACACTAGAACATTACATCCTACACTGAAAACATTTAGGTATTAAGCTATCAACTAAATTTGCCATGCATGAAATGGAAAATAATTTGACTGTAAATGATAAAATGTCTGAAATAAATGTATTGTATCAATATGCCTCTTCTGGTACATAAATGACATGTAAATGTTGCCTTTACGTTTTATGTGACATAAAACCATGACAAATTATTATCTTGTAAAATCCCATTCTGAAACGTATATAATTTAGAAAAAGTCGTACCTACATGTATAATACATAGAAGTTAATACCTAAGACATCCAAGAGTATTAAGTCAGCCGCGTGGTGGCACACCATAGCAACATGGGTGTTGTTTCTATGGTAACAACTGAACATGTGTCTAGATATCTTTATCATCAAGGTTCTCGATACTCCCAGTACTGTCTAGGCTGCAGCGCGCCGCACCTGGCTTCCCCCTTGTCTGTACTGGCAGCATCTTTACTCTCTTCTTAATCACAACATGCTTCTTGATTGACAACATAAATTTTGATTGACAGCCTAATTTTTAAATTACAACGTAATTTTTAAATTATAACAAATTTGTATTGTAACCACATATTTCTTGGGTGACAACATACTTCTTGAGCGAAACAATAGTTCTTGACTTACAACATATTTCTTGAGAGGCAACATACTTTGAGTGACAACATACTTCTGTCAGTAGCTGTAGCATTATAATAAATTTGATGACAACAGTTTGAAGAAATCACTCCTTCTTGAATATTTGTATCTGTCCCCCTATGATTTTCAATGTTTAGCACGTGAGGATCTTTTTCTTCCCTATCCATTACTTCACATCATTCTCTACCCCGCCTTCACTTCTCTAGCACCACCAACATTCATACCCCCATGAATTTACCTGCTACTTTCCACAAACAACTTCATTTGAACTCTTATCTCCTGCCACTCTCCCCACGCTCTTCCGAGCTCCCACTCTTTAACACTTCTTCACTTACACTTTTGGTCTTTATTTCCAATCCCCACTATATTTAAACATTTTCACGTCCTACCCCATTCCTGCTTTGCCCCTCCCCCCCCCCATTCCTGCTTTGCCCCTACCTACCATCCCAATTACTTCCCACTTCCCCGCTCCTACTTTTCCATATACCACTCTCCCATTCCCTTTCCTCCAATCCTCTGCAGGTGAATATTCCAACTCACATACAACCCTCTTCCTCACCTGAGCACACCTAAGGAGAGGAGTTGACCTATTCTAAAAAATCCTGATATAATAGTATTAATGGAATGAAAATACTGAGACAACTACCAACGCTATAATTCTTATTATATATTGATAACGAGATTATAAGGAACACAGAGAGATAAGGAGGATAATGGCAATGCTGGTCAAAATGAGTGAACATTATGAGAAGATTGTGAAAGTTAAGAAGAGATTATGAAAGTGATGAGAAATCATAACGACGGGAGAAGAGGAAGTTGTGATGGTGATCTACAGACTTGAGTCTCATTGCTCTCTTCTCCCATTTAAACTATTTTTGAACACTCGTGAATGAACACTCCTGTCATGAAAAGTCTTCATTAATATCCCCCATTATGAAATTTACTTGGAAACAATGAACCTGGGAGGGTTAAAAGCCAACCACAAATCCTAGACCAGATCTTTTCATATATAGGATATAGATATTGAGATTATAGATCAACAGGATACTCCACGTTAGTCTATAAAGATATATCGAAAAAGGAGCATAAAATGGTCTGGTATCACTGGAGAAAATAGCCTATATAGAAAGAGAATTCAAAGAGAAGACATTTTAAGACGTTCTGTGCCAAGTAAGGAGTGAATATCAAAATATCTGAGAGAAGCACCGTGCTACCTTTACGAAGAACAGCAGCCTAGCACAACACCTTCCCACGGCTCAACAAATCGAATTAGTAAGTAAGAAATACAGAGAACAGAAAACGAAAACGCAAGTAAATAATTATCAAAAGAATTAATTAGGCAGCAAGCCGGGAAGACTAGCAAACGAAAGAGGATGAACAAGTACGTTGGCAGTATTCGACAGGTAGAGAAACAAAGAATGTCATGGTATCCAAAATCGAGAATCATCAGGGAGACTGTCTGTGAGTGAGAAAGTATTGCGCCACAACAAGAGTATGAACACAGCACATGATAAGAACGCACATTAAATACTCAACGATAGGTTCCAGGAAGTTTATAATCTGGAACCTCAGAGCCAATATATAAAAAAGAACCGACACTTTCAATTAAAAACTAACAAAATTTAAGTGGGACCATAAAAACTCATCTCAGCAACAGCTTTAGTTTCCCACGTCAACAGATATGCGCTCAGACCTCCTTGCACGTGTACAGGTATATATGTATGTATATATATATGCTTGACTTACTGTTACAGCCAAAGAAGACCTCTGCACCAGTGCGTGCAAGATTTCTTAGGCTATCTCCTTCCCTACTCGCACTTATTTTCATTACCTTACCACTTTTCCTTAACATCCTTACCGTAAAATAAATAAAAAAACAGTAAATATATATATATAACATAAATAATTCTATAAAAAGAGTAGAGGCGTTGAAGAGAACCGCAGAAGGTGTTCCGGAGAGCAACATGAGGCTCCTAGCGGGTGTCATCAGCGTGGTGGTGTTGGCCTCCCTCGCACGTGAGTATTGTCACCACATATTATATGTATATGCTGCCACATCATGTAGCTCTCACTGCATAGTTTGTCACCCAGACTAACAAGCACATACTGCTACAATGCCACACAATTAAACATCTCATCTAGTTTAGAATTAGATCTACATTCCCAACTAGATAGCGAGAGATCTTATACAATTGTATCGTGCAAAATACGTTTTATACCATACTCAACCATTTAAATTGACTAAATTTATTCAGCAATTCTTTTACATGTAGGAGAGATTGTAATGAAATCTAAAGCGAAAATTAGAATGATGAGATTTAACGATGTAATTTATATCTACACAACAACAAAGATAACTCCATAAAAGACCTAAGAGAAAGCCATGGTAACATAAATCTGCGTTATACACTGTTCGTCTGCATGCAACACCCGGTCAGGATCAGTCAAATATTATTTCCATATATATATAGTCAGTCATACTTTGGTTCTCATTGATTTACAATGCCACTGACTGACTTACAAAACCATTGACAAAAAATACCACTGACGTACAGTACCACTTATTAACAATACCACTAATTCATATTTTCCACTAATTTACGACACAACTGAATTACAATGTTTCTAACACAATACTATTGACTTACAATACCACTGACTTACAATACTACTGACATACAATACTTTTGATTGACAATACCACTGACTTACAATACTATTGATTGACAAAACCATTGACTTCAAATACCATTCTGACAAAATACCACTGACTTACGATACTAATGATTTAGAATTCTAATAAATTACAATAACGCTGATTGACTTAGAAATGTCGAAATTTACAAAACAACTGACTTACAATATCATTAATTTACAGTACCACTAACTGACTTACAATACCATTAAATTTCAATACCACCGATATACAATACCACTGACTTACAATACCGCTGACGTACAATACCACTGACGTACAATACCACCGACTTACAATACCACCGATTACAATACCACCAATTTACAATACCACCGATTTACAATACCACTGACTTACAAAACCACCGACTTACAATACCATCGACTTACAATACCATCGACTTACAATATCACCGACTTACAATACCATCGACTTACAATACCATCGACTTACAATACCACCGACTTACAATACCACCGACTTAAATACCACTACTTGCAGCACCACTAACTTACAATTCCACAAACAAATATTAGCAATAAATATAATAAATTAACAAGTTGGCTGCGGTGGCCGTCTACATGCAACTCGGTCAATTATCGAATAACAAACAATATTTTATTATTTGCCTCGTAAAACAAATATGAATAATTAGTTTAAATATTTTATTTGTTTATTTATTTATATATACAAGAGTTCTTACATTCCTGTAAGAATGTGTTGTTGTATTTAACATCCTTCTGTTACGTACCAAAACTCAGTGTATATAAAACCTAACTGCTAGTCAGGCCCTGTAAAACTTGTCTTTAATGTGAGAATCATTTAAGATTAACGAGAGCAAATTCTTGGCCATGTAATGGTGTCAGACGGCGCTCATGAGTGCGAGAGAGAGTGCGTGGCCGGCGACACCCGCACCTGCCGCTACACCTTCCACCTCCAGGAGTACCACACCATGAGTCGCGCCTGCTTCGACTGCCCCCACAACCTCACTGACTGCTCCCGTCCCGAGTGTGTGGCCGGCGACGGAGTGGCCAGACCGCTAGTTGCTATCAACCGTCAACTGCCTGGACCCAGCGTACAGGTCAGTGGTGCTGTCATCACGCCAGGAGTGTTGTCACCAGGTCAGTGGTGCTGTCATCAGGTTAGTAGTGCTGTCATCAGGTCAGTAGTGCTGTCGTCAGGTCAGTAGTGTTGCCATCCGACCAGTAGTGCTGTCATCAGGTCAGTAGGGCTGTCATCAGGTCAGTAATGCTGTCATCAGGTCAGTAGTGCTGTCATCAGGTGAGTAGGGCTGTCATCAGATCAGTAGTGCTGTCATCAGGTGAGTAGGGCTGTCATCAGATCAGTAGTGCTGCCATCAGGTCAGTATTGCCTGATTACATACAATATTTTAAGTAATGAAAACAACAATTATTTCACTAGTTGTTTTCCTTGTAAATTATAGAATTGCTCATGAAAATACAACAAACTGAATTATTTTTATCATATGAACGTTATGTAGCAATACCGCCCTCACTGGCGGCGGCTGGCTTCTCTCCAAACACCTTGTACGGTCAGTAGAATTTTTGGTTGTGATATATTTAAGTCCACCGTGGTCCTGTTAGGTGTGTGTGTGTGTGTGTGTTTCTGGCAAGTCCAGAGACGCGAGTTAGATCCCACTGCATTGTATCATAATATGTTTTAAAGTGACAGGTGTGTGTGTTGTGTTGGTCAGGTGTGCGAGGGCGACCGGGTGGTGGTGGACGTGTACAACTGGCTGCTGTCGGACACGGAGACTATTCACTGGCACGGTCAACACATGCAAGACTTCCAGTACTACGACGGTGTCCCATTCCTTACCCAGTGCCCGATCTTAGGTGGCTCCTTCCGCTATAACTTCCTCGCTACCACCACTGGCACTCACTGGTGGCACTCTCACTCAGGTATGCTGGCAGCCAACACGCACAAGGAAAACGGCACTTGAGAAACATGCTGGGGCTCGCATATGATGTTCTTGCACCATAGACACTTGCTTGAGGTCACACATGACGTTACCTTCATCCTAGATACTTGCTATGGCTCACACTTGACGTTATCTGCACCAAAGATACTTGCTTAAGCTCACACATGACTTTACAGAGTAAGTTCCTTTTTTATATATTTAACCATATGTACTCTAGCCTAGTCTAACTTAGTCGTCCCTAACTTATCCCCCTAGTGTACCTTAACCTTCACAAACTTTACCTAACCTAATTACATAACTTCATGAGTACATTCGCCACGAAAACAGCGTTAAGACACATCAAAATGTGCTTGCACACTTTATAATTACAACATGGCACATTTACTGCAATATACGTCACTGTACCTGCATTATTGATGCACTATTATATTTCATATCATGTCACAAGTAAAGTTGTCGTTGTGGGACTTGAGCGGCGAGAGAGAGAGAGCGATGCAGTTAATAAGATAATTCTCAAATAGAGGAATGAGCTCTCATCGGTAGGTCTGAACCATACATAATGCCCAATACCCACACATACATACAGTCCCAGTGTCTCCCTCTCAGGACTTCACCGAGGAAGTGGAGTGTTCGGCCCCTTCGTGGTGCGAGAGGCAGAGGATCAACAGGCCTCGACCTACGACGTAGATTCCCCCGAACACGTCCTTGTGATGTTCGATTGGATCCACAGCTCCGTCAGCGACTTGTTTTTTGGTCGCATCCATTACACTGGGGACGAATTAGCCTCAAACATCCTCATCAACGCCAAGGGCAGGACATCTGCCACCATGGTAAAGTGACAAGGGGTCTGATGACAGGAAACAGTGCTTTTCGAAAGTCATCCCCATTGCTTCTGAGGTTTTTTTTTCAATTAAATTTTGAATGGTAGTAATGTCTTGCCGTGTACGACTTTGGGGGGTACAACAGACACAGCCCCGCTCCTGTGCCAGATAAGTCCGCGACAATCTCACCATAGCCAATGCTACTTAGAACTTTTTGTTCTGAGTAGCTGAATCTAAAAAACAACAATTCGGAGGGTAAGCGGTACATGTGTTTATAATCCTATGGGTAAAAAAAAGATCTCCCGTTTTTTTATCCAACATTGAGGCTTGTTGAGTTTGAAACTGTTGCCCCTTTTAAAGAAGTGGTCTGGATAAATATCCTCCAACTTGTTTGGTATTTTCAGTCTCGACCAGATCATTCCCATCATGTTTAGTTTGTAGTGTTGTTAGTACTGTGAGTCTCAACCGTTCCTGGTATGAGAGTTGACTTAGTTCTGGAATTATTTTTGTCGTTCTGTGTTGAACTTAATCCAAATTAGGTATGTCCTTTTCATGATGATGTCTTTATGCTTGAATACAGCATGGACACAGAATCCAGATGGCGGTGCACCAGATACTTGTAGAGCTTAATAACAAATTTCTTGTCCATGAAATTAAAGGTTCATTTGGCTATTCTTAAGGTTTGGCTGGTTTTATTTTTATTTTTTATTGCAGCTCCCACTTGTGGAACTTTTAATGACTGGTAAATCCTAACTACTAGGTCTTTTTTTCCGCCAATCTGTTGCATGGCAGAGTTGTTGATATGATAGTTGGGATCTGCAATTTTATGCCCTAGATGCAAGTTCCTGCATTTTTCAATATTTAAAACCATTTGCCAGTCTTCTGACCTTCTGGAGATAATTTAGATCTCTATATAAGGATATTGCTTTTTACTTTTACATAGATATTAGTGTCATCTGCAAATTTGATAATGTGGTTTGTAATATTCTCATCTATGTCATTAATGTATCTGACAAAAAGTGTTGAGCCCAAGATGGAAATTTGCTGTACTCCACTGACCATTTTTATCAGTCAGATTCTTTTTCATTTTTAACAACCTATAGAATGATTCTCTTTATGTATGGCCAATGAAATTTACTGGTTAACTGGTTGAAAAGACACTGTGATATAAGCAACGAGAAAATCAGCTGGAGCTCTGAGGTGACTCAAACCTCAGTTCGAGTCACCTCAGAGCTCTCAGTAACGTTAATGTTATATGTGTTGCCAATGGTGATTATTACCTTCTATTAAATATTTAATACTCCTTTGAAGCCTAAAAAAGAAAGTCGTAATATTTATCTAAAGTTTACCAGAATCTTCAAATGATTGTTCTTCATTAAATTAACATCTTAACAATAAGTATATTATTTTTTTCTTTGGAGCAGAAACACCTTTGCTGGGTGAAAACAACTTTACGTCCTGGTAACCAGCTTCCTCAAGAGAAACACGAACAGAAGCTCACACTAAACATTGTAACTGTAAACACTAATCGTGACCAGGATGTGGGCTTAAAGAACGTGATTATTTCATGTGTGTTTCTATTGCCTAAGTCGGTGCCCCTCAACGACACGTTGAGTAAAGGTATCCTGCATTACACAAGGAGTTTGTATTCCCTTGTGTTCACACTTGTGGCATGAACAAATTAGTTTCACATTTAGACATTGAGACCCAGTTAACCATCAGTGTTCACTGACACCCTCTGCGTTCCTCTGCAGACGCCGCTGGAGGTGGTGCGTGTGACCCCTGGCTTGCGTCACCGTCTGCGTCTCATCAATGCCGGGGGCCTCAACTGTCCAATAATTGTCTCGGTCGACGACCACAAACTTGTCGTCATCGCCACTGATGGCCAGCCCATTCTTCCTTACACGACTGATTCTGTCGTTTTATACTCTGGTGAGTTCTGTTGTGTCGTCATGTACTCTGGTGAGTTCTGTTGTGTCTAATCTGTCGAGTCATTTTCTGCTGCATACTCATACGTATTATTTTTAAGTGGAAACAAATACCGCAGTGTCAATGTATTCACAGCTGTAGTGTTAACGAAAGTATATTGTTTTCCTGTGAACAATTTAACTTGTGCTGTATTCAATGCGTGTTAACGCGAGACTGGAGGGTTTTCCTTGAAGATACGTTTGTTAGTAGGCTATCACACAGCAAGAGTCGGTGATAGGCTGTCGCCTGGTAGTCTCATCTAGTGAGTAACCTTACGTATACATCATCAAACGTCTTTAATCATCGTTTCAGCGAATACAGTCAAAGTTCTTCTGGTCAGTTTCAACAGTTCAGATTTTTACTTTTAAAAATGCATGGTTTTAGGACTTCCTAAAACAATAAAAGTCGTAATGATTACGATTTTGTTGAACATTGTTCCACAATGTTTTGTGGAATGCATACTCATTCCACACGACCTCCTCCTAATGTATGGTCACATTATGTGACCATACATTATGTGGTGGCAGGTGAAACTGCCATCTTGTAATATGAACCAGTTACCTACTGGTTCTATGGAATTACTAAAAGATTTCTTAATATCAGGAATTTGAATAACTTGCATCATGGATTTATACATCCATAAGTGTGCTCCATTTATCGGTGTATTAACTCTGTAAATTTAGTTGTCTTGGAGTTTGAAAATGGCTATAGTATATTAATGCAGGTTGGTCACTAAGCTAGTGGCATGGCCTTAATAAGCCTCATGCAGTTGATATGCTCTAAACCCAGCATCAAATATACCTCACCTGGCTTCAAAAGAGATGTGAACACAACTGCCTTGAAGACTCATAGTGTAAGGTACAGTCTCACAGTATGTTACAGTTCCAAAGTGTAAATTATATTCACCATAACGCAGGTCCATTGCTCCACAGTGTAACTTACAGTCCCACAATGTATGTTAGACCCACCGTGTAAATTACAGTCCGACATTGTAAGTTACAGTTCCACAATATAAAATAGACTCGCTGTAAGTTACAGCACCCCCCCCTACCCTCCTATATTTTGCCTGCACTCTCTCTTACAGAATAATCTCACAATTTAATATTAGTTGTGAACATTTGCGATAAACCTCGCTTCTCTGCGCCAAAGTTAAGTGTATACTTTTGTAAATTTACCTGCGAGTTGCCCCCGACTAAGTAGAGAGTTCACTTCCCTACAATGTAGCAATCCTGTAGCGTCGTAGCCTACGCAGTCGGCACACACCCGAAAGATCCCGTGTGCGATTCCTGCGGCAGGACATATGCATTTGTGTCTGTTTCATATCCTCTGATGTCTCTCTTTATCCAGCAGTAAATAGATACTCTGGAGTTTATCAACTGTTGTGGGTTGCATCTTGGGGCAGGCGAGTAAACCTCTGGGAGGCGCTCAGTTATCCTCACAGGGAAGCTGTCCTCGACGATGGGAACTAAACCACAATAATTATTAAGGTGGTGTCCCACAGGAGAGAGGTTTGATGTGGTGTTGGCGGCCGACCAGCCCGTCGACAACTACTGGATCCGCTTCAACGGCCTCATCGACTGCCAGTAAGAATCACATTTAACAAATTTGTTCTTTGATATATTACGTTAATGGGCTTTCTCTTAATGGTGTTGACTTTTTGATGTGTAGTGCCTCGCTGATGTCGAGCTGCCTGCTATTGCTGTACCTATTGATGGACGCCTAGAAGCGTTTCGTAAGGGCTTCTTCCATTCTCAAAGACTTCTTTACACTTAACACTACACTTATGAACTACACTTATGATACACTGTGTATGAAACATTTGACATAATGCTTGTTTTTTATTGGTTTAAGTGAGGTGGGTACATGAGAATGGAAGTAACTGCAGAGGGCCTATTGGCCAATACGGTGCCTTGAAGTGGGTAGAATATAGTTGTGCATTAATTGGCTGTTGATTGCTGGTGTTGACTCTTTGATGTGTAGTGCCTCGCTGATGTCGAGCCGCTTGCTATCGCTGTACCTATCGATGGGCGCCTAGAAGCGTTTCGTAAGGGCTTCTTCCATTCTCAAAGAATTATTTACACTTATGAACTACACTTATGATACACTTGCAACCCGTTCTCGCAAATTTAATAAGTCAATATTGACTTATTAAATATGTGCATAGGTGACATACTTAACATAATAGATACCCTTAAAAAGATTCATAGAAAACACCGACCTTACCTAACCTACTTAGTATGTTAAGATAAGCATCTTATTGCTTCGTAATTACAATTATTACCTAACCTATAATTGGTATAGGTTAAGTAATAATTGTAATTACGAAGCAATAAGATGCTTATCTTAAGATACTAACAAGGTTAGGTAAGGATGGTGTTTTCTATGAATCTTTTTAAGGGTATCTATTATGTTTAGTATATCACCTATGCACGTAGTTAATAAGTCAATATTGACTTTACGAATTTGCGAGAACGGGTTGTACACTTGATACACTGTGTATGAAACATTTGACATAACGCTTGCTTTTTATTGGTTTGGGTAAGGTGGGTACATGAGAATGGAAGTAACAATATGCTTTTATATTATAATATTAATTTATATTTGAAAAAATTCTCGTTTTGAATGAACAGCATGTAAAATATGTAAAAAGTTATGAATGCGTCTGTGGGGGCGACCGCTCGATGTAATGGACATGAGTCGAGGACGGGTTGCGCAATCGCCTCCTTATGTCACCTCTGTGAACTTAAAATGTCATTAACTAAACTGCCAGTACATTTGGTGACCATAGGATAACAACTATCCACCGGGGAATTCAAATTGTAACTTGTAGCCACAACCAAGATGGCGTTGATATCATTATGCCATCCACCAGAGGTCATCATCATCGACCTCACATTCTGACTGAGGCAGGAAACAGAGGCCTTTCACTAATACCACGCCACCACCAACAGATGGCGTTGTCTGCGTAGTACCCAATACTGGGGAGTTGGAGTGCAGACTCATAGATGGCGCTGAAATCGCCACTCCCTACTCAAGTGACGGTGTCGATACCGTAACAATATATAAACATACACATTCAGTATTTAAAGATGTGTGAGTTTAAAACAATTTAAATCTTTAGAACGTATCGTATATAAAACATTTTAAAATAATTAGATCTTAAAAAGTGCACCTTCTATCCAAACAGTACCGTATATACTAGAGTCCTGAACATTATCCAGAACTAAAGTAAACTTTCAGCATAAACACACAGAGAAGCTGGGAACGTATCTCGGTGTTCACTGCATATCGAAGTGTATACATGCATCACATACACGATGGGAACAATGTTTAGATGAATCTATAACATAATTTGTTCATTAATCCTGTTAGTACATGAGTGTGTGTGAGCATGTAAGTGCATTTTTGCGTGCGCTGTGCATGAGTGAGTGTGTGTGTGTGTGTGTGTGTGTGTGTGTGTGTGTGTGTGTGTGTGTGTGTGTGTGTGTGTGTGTGTGTGTGTGTGTGTGTGTGTGTGTGAACAAATATATTTGCGTGCGACAAAGCCTGGTGCTTGTCCAGCTGTTGTCTTGTGAGTGATCGTCATCTTGGCCACCAGGCCGAACGAGTGTGTGCAGGGAGCGGTGCTCCGGTACGAGGGCGCCCCGGAGGAGGACCCGGCCGCCATCCTGGCCTACGACCCCAACTACCCGCCAGGAGTCGTGAGTCTGTCATTCTTCAGTATTTCTCTAACACTCTCCAGGCGACCTTAACCGCCCTGATGTCTCGCTAACAATTCCCCTGACTTGAGTCGACACATCTCATAATGCCTATTATATATTTTCATGGTTTTATTTGTAATGAATAAACGCAATTTAGACATTGGCTCAGATATCATGGTTTACTTCTGTTACCCCTCCCCCCCCCCTGCTGCTTACCTTCCCTCTAGCTTTATACTGACTGCCTCTCCCACTCCTGCTTGTCATGCCTTGATAAGGGTCCAGGATGGACCCAAAAGTCGTCACTTTCATTAATATACAACATTATTCACTGATGGGAAAATGATCAAAAATCTACTTAGCAAGATAACTTCCTCACAAACGACGTTTATCAGCACAAAAAGTAGGACTTTTTCTACCAAACAATGAGTATGACTTCGATTGATGATGCATGGGTGGATGCCTGGCCTGAAGAATGCAGTATAGTATGTATATGGAGGAGTAACAATCCATGTTACTCCTCCAAACTTTAAATGACTTCTTGCCGAACTAAAAGATATCAGCAGTATTTCGCATTGACAACTGTCATACAGTCCTTAACTCTTGTCACACTGCAGAGGACACCTCTGATTTTCTGCCAGTCACAAACATTTCTTTGCCGTTGACTAGTTTTGCTTAAGAGTGGGTCATCTGATGTTTCTAAACCAAGCGAGATTGCCTCGCCTCAAAACTTTGGTTCGGGTCTACTTATGGAGGTTCAGATAGAGTAAGACTCAAATGAGCATAGAGGTCGAGAACACATACTCGGTGACCTTAAACACATGACGTTCTGTGCCTTAATCACGGGTCACATGACCTGTAAAGCATCGTCGGCGGATATGACGTCAGAGCACAACTGAACAGCATTTTGACCCTAAATATTACATAAAACATCAATCTTATTACATAAATTTGTGAATTTCAGTGCAAACATTGGCCTCAGTCCCTTGTGCTAGTTGTATGTGAGTAAGACTCAATGAAGACCGGTACGTCTATGACGGACTGTGGTATCCTAACAGTACACGGCAAGCGGTCTCCCATCACGGCCAGGGTCTCATCTCTCACCATAATATCACACCTTTTTTCGCTAAGAAACTGTCTTTATAATTATAGTTACAATTATGTAATCGTTATAATTGTTATTTACAAGAAGGTACAATGGGCAAATCCACAAGGGCCGTGACGAGGATTCGAACATACGTCCGAGATCATCCCAGACGCTGCCTTTATCGATTGAGCTACAATAAAGGCAGCGTCTGGGATAATCTCGGACGTTGGTTCGAATCCTCGTCACAGCCCATGTGGATTTCTTCATTTGATGCATACGCTATTGTGATTTCCGTGTGTAAGGTACAGTGGGTTTATGAGATTACATTAGAATGGTATTTTTACATTCTTGCAAAACCACTAACATGCATAGCGTTTCGGGCAGATCCTTAATCTAACATACTTTCTACCTTAATCTAATATCCTTCAATATAATTATATAATTAAGTGGGTGAACTCTTAACTTCGTGTGTGTCTAAAGTAGGGAACCTTCTCAACTCTGGAATGCCTTAAGGTAATGATCTCATCTGTGCTGTCCTCAGGTGGTGAATCCCCTCAACACAGCCGGAGTCGCCTTAGAAGAGGTTACTATGGCCGAACTTACCTCCCTCGTCCCCAGCACCTTAGAGGAACACGTCGACAAGCAGTTCTTTCTTGGCTTTAACCTCAACCAGATCGACAACCTTCTGATGTATAACCCTGAGTTCTACTCCTACTCCGAAGGTGAGTTCGAGGCGCCAATTTAGCACCTCAGAAAATGGAACAAAGATGTGCGTATGATAGGCTCCCAGATGCCTTAAATCCCAGGGTTATCATACTGTACTGTTATCAGAGGCTGGAGCTCACTTAACCTGGTAGAAACCCACCTAGCAAAGGGCGAGGCTGTCCTCAGTCACTCAACCAGTTACTGGCCAAATCCAGCAGTGCTTAACCGACTACGCCTTGCTAGTAACATTTACGTTAATTTCATCGAAAGCTGAGATTTGTAGGGTAATGAACATATTGTTATCTTAAATACATTTTTGTTTCTAAATCAAATAACCACATTTCAATATTAATGTAAATATATTTCCCGTAACTTTGACCTCCCGCGATATTTTTTTTCAGAGTATTTAATAAAGTATAATGATACATTATGGCAAAACTTGGTTGACCTAGTTAATAAAGTTTTATAAGGAAAACTTGGTTCCTGCAGTGTCTGCGGGATGGCAAAGGAAAACCCCCCAACTGAACAACATCAGCTTCAGGTTACCGCTCTCCCCTCCGCTCTCCCAGCCACAGGACCCTCAACCCACCGTCTGCTTCTACGGCGAGGTGAGTCAACACTAATGCTTCCTATGCTTCAGCACCTCTTAATATGCTTCACCCGCTGATTCTACATATAAATTGTTATCGATGGTACTCAAACCTAATTAAGCACAAAACTATATTATTATATAAAGTAATTAATTTGTATACAAAATTAATGGCTGTCTGTTTGGGGACGACTGCAGCAAGGATGGTTGGTGCTTTACTAGGAAAAACTGTGCTTGTTAGAGGGTTGTGGAAGGTCTTAATATTAATACGAATTAAGTAACATAATTTTTCACGTAACCAGGAGCCGCCTTGCGTCGGAAACTACTGCAGCTGCACCTACGTGATGGAGGTGGCGTTAGGGGAGACAGTGGAGCTGGTGTTGGTGGATGAGGGTATGGTTGGTGATTTGAACCATCCCTTCCACCTCCATGGTAACAACTTCCATGTGGTGGCTATGGACCGCCTCGGCAGGTCAGTTACACTCACACTTGTACCAACGTATTTAGTCCGACTCCCAGTATAACCATCTCCCAATACCTGGCCTCTACACCTACCACATCTAACTGTTGCCACATCCTTGTTATACCACTACTGTAACCTTCCGCTTGGGCCCTTTCCATTAGCGGAACCTTCCACCAGTGTAGCCTTCCGCTAGTATAACCTTCCACCAGTGTAGCCTTCCGCTAGTGTAACCTTCCGCTAGTGCAGCCTTCCACTAGTGTAACCTCTCATTGCCACTACCGACTAGGGCCGCCTTTCCACTAGTGCCATCTCCTATTTTACAACCTCAACAAATATTAGTTGTCGATCAGTTGTAATACTTCGTTTTCATGTCATCCTCATGTGTGCCTCCCAGATAAGTGCCACCTTCAAATAGTACCTCTTTCTAAATGTACCTTCTACTAAGAATGTTTTCGTCACCTTCAACATCAAAATAACTTTCACAATTTGTATAAGTTTGTCAATGACATATACACGTTTTTAGTAATGCTCACATGCTCTTGAGAATTTGTTCAGTATTCCATTAAGATATTTATGTTTTCTATGACGGAAAAACACTATACATGATCATGTAGGCCCACAACGTATGGAGTAATATTTTCATCACATACCTCCTGCTCATCCTAGCCTTGGGCTTGATAATTACAGCCAGACAACAGTGGAAGAGGTCATGGCTCTAGACGCTGCTGGAGGCATCTCACGGAAGTTGACCAACGCCATCAAGAAGGACACGGTGACGATCCCTGACGGAGGCTACACCGTCGTCAGGTTCACTGCTAGCAACCCTGGTGAGACACTCGCTTATTCTGCTTAACACCTCCTACTCATATTTACTTAAGACATGTCACGTTATGCTCCTTAACCTTAGTTGCATAAATTTATGATTCGAGGTCCTCCTCAAGGTACAGTGATTACTATTGCTCTTGAAATAGCACTTTCTCTGTAACTAGCTGACATTGTAACTATAAGGTGTGAAGGATAGATGAAATTGTTTATGTAATAATCTAAGATGAAGTCTGATAAAGACCTTTTGTGCCCTCTGTAATGATTTTTGCACTACCGCTTACAGGATGGGTATGGGGTGCACAATAAACTAACTGCCTCCAGCGGCAACAATCAATAAGAGACACGAAACCCATTCTCACACGACCTGGACAGTTATTTAGATATTTTTAACGGTCTAAAATCATTTTATTGTTCCAATAATAATCGACTTGTCAATTGGCAAGTGAATCTTTGTCTTAAATGGTGAAAATTATCGAGTTATAAGTTTGTTGTACAGTATTATAAATCGTTGCTTTAAAATATTAAATGTCTACGCTTAAAAACTCGCTTTTTGAAACAGTTTAAGAATTAGATTTTCTGCAAATTAAATGCAAAGGGGTACTTAATTAAATAGTTTTGAATTTTAATAATTTACGTTTGAGATTAATAACTTATCGGTGTTAACCTTTCCTTTCCTTTCTTTACTTACCTTACCCTACCCTATCCAACCCTACCCTACCCAACCCTAACCTAACCTATCCTAACCTTACCTTATCTTACCTTACCTTACTCTACCCTCCCTACCCTACTCTACCTTTAACCTAACCATGGATAAGGAGTAGATAATAGCAATAATTATGTAGTGGTTTTGAAGTGATAACCTCCAATGGTACTTCATCTTTTAGGACAGGTTGATGATTCAGAATTGTTTTAGTGTTTGGTTAATATTATTATTGCCGCGTCAAGGCTGCCATCTCTAGTGGCCTCGACGTGGATTGTAATAAGTCTTCATTTTTTAAGATTTTTTCCCGGATGATTCCATAGATTTAAAACTCTATGGGTGAAATAGCATCGTCTGTTTTCTATCCTACTTTGTGGCTTGTTGAGTGTGAAGTCTTTGCTACTTGAATGTGCTGTATTATTTGATCTTAAAGAAGTGGTCTGGATTAATATATTATAAATTGTTCAGTATTTTAAAGGTCTCAACAAGATCTACCCGCTTATGCCTGCCTTGCAGTGTTGTGCATGCCTCGACGCCTTTATTTTTTGTTTGTATAACTCCATTACTTTTGTCTTCCGCAGGCTGGTGGTTGATGCACTGTCATCTGGTGTTCCACGCAGAGCTTGGGATGATCGGCGTCCTGCATGTTGGGGATCCTTCTGACCTACCGTCTGTCCCTGAGGGCTTCCCCACCTGCAGCTCCTTCATGCCGGACCTCTAGGTACCTTCGTTCCTACATGACAGCAGCCCTGTTGGCCCTACTTGATGTACCAATAGGACACCTGTTCCTTTATGCGGGAGGCATGGCAGTTCCTACAGAAACTGCCGCTCCTTCCTTCTTGACCTATTGGACCTTCTGTCTCTCCGTGTCAAACCTGTAAGATCTTTACTGCCCTCCACACCTGACCTTTTGTTAGTTCCGTAGGATCTCCTCACTCTTCAAGCGAGACCTGCGGACTATCGCCTATCACTTCAGTACTGAAACTAAACATTGCACCTATATGCACTCCTCACCCCTTCCTCATGCCTTAACGGGCTATTCATGCCCGTGCCACCTCTTTGGTGGCTTAATCTTCTTCAATCATCAAACATGCCTGGCCCACTCCTAACCTTGCTCTCCCTCACCCCCTCTCTCCCATTTCGGGCATCATCAACAGTCCCTCCACTTGTACTGTCGTGAGTCTGCAACATTTATAACCCTCAAGTCCACTACGGGCTCACAACAGCCCGTGCTGCTTGGAACTTTTTTGTTCAGAGTAGCTGAATCTAAAACAACAACAACAGCAACATTTATAATTAGATTTATCAGTCCATCTTCCTGATGCCAAAAGTTTGTGGTAAAACTTTGAGATCGGAGTAAGACTTCATAAATCTCGTTTCCATTCAACTCAATGTAGTATATGTACGTAGGATGAAATAAACAAGTTCATACATTGACAGTTTTATTAATTACTTCTCCGGCTACATAACAACCATATGAGAGTGCTGGTCACCCAAGTGAGCACTGCCTCACGGCCTGAGCACAAGGTGACTGTTACGAATCCATATATTTGATTCTAACATTTATCATAATAAATATGTGTCCGTTATTTCTTTCCTCAGTTATTTAAATAAAACATTGTATCCAGTTGTGTTCCAGTATATATATATGCTTGATTTAAATTGTAGCATGCTGTAGTGTGCCTGTATTTAATATTTTGTTAATGCTTTTGCATGTTCATTCATGTGAATGAACTGTGAGGGAAGACTGTGGCGTCTCATGGGGGGATGACCATATTTGGGATGTTCCAGTAATGCGTGCAGTGTATCAACCCAGCGTTACTGATTCACCCCCTGTAATTATTCCTGTTTATTGATTGTACTTAATTTCTTATTTACATCTTAGCAGTGTTATAGGCATATAAGTTTAGTTATAATTATGTTCTTAAGTATTACTCTCCGATAGCAGAGTATCTAGAGATTTCATGTGGGTTTTAGTTGGTACCTTGTAGACGCCATGCCGTGCATGCTCCAGCAACACCAGTCGCGTGGGTGGAGCTGGCTGGCGTAGACATGTTGGGAGATAAGTCTGTGGTACCTGTTTATTGTTTAGTAACATAGCTAATTGCCTGGAAATACCATTATGTGCATACCCATCTATCCATTTAAATTTTTAAAATAGTGATCAGTGCTTATATAATGATATTGTGTTATTGTATTCTGGACCTAGATTCAGGAAGCTCTGTGTATTTCTTCGTAAGTGGGTTTGCTACGAAGGTTCCTAAGTGCGCCCTAAGAAGATGCTTAGGTGCGATTCAATAAGGTATACATAGGAAGAAAATTGTTGGTTCTTCTTCTTCTTCTTCTTGATAGTAGGTGCAGTTTGCATGAAGGGTTTGTCCTCCCGATGACTGCACCAGTACAGGTGTTGGTAGAGGCGTTTATGTTGAAGATAAGAGTTTCAAAAGTGCTTGTTGCGTTGTGGTGTAGACAGAGGAGCGGCGACTACAACAGAGGTGTGTGTTAGAGGGAGACTTGCCGCACCGTAGGGCGGTGTGTTGTGTTTATGGCGTCAGCTGATCCTTGGTGTTGCGACGAGGCAGTTGTTTTCTGTTTAGCCGTTGGTGGCGCCAGGTATAAATGTGGCGCGGGTCAGATGTGACCCAATTTGTTGGTCGATTGGAGATATTTAGCCAGTGCTTTGACTATTTGGTATTTTTCTTGTAACGAGTGGTCACCGCCTCCTAATATATGCTCGATGGTAAAGGGTATTTTAAGTGAGATAAGTTCTTGTTTGAAATTTACTCTGGCACTATAGTGTCGGAAGCAATGTAGGAGATAGTGTTCGATTGTTTCAGGCACCTGACAGTGGATGCAGAGTTCGTTGATGTCTGTTCTGTACTTAGAGCTGTGTGCTGCTAGTTTGGTGTGTCCCAGCCTTAATCTGGTCATCGCTATATCAATTTCTCTGCTTTTATATCTGACATGTTTCCAAGTTTCCCATTTCTTTTTAATGGACCCATAGTACAAAGGTGAGCATGACGTTTTCCATTTCGTCGCAAAATCTTGGGTGATGGTATTTTTGAAGGCTCCTTTACGTGCAACATGGGGAATTGGATGATGGGTAATGTGAGGTGTGTTGTGCATTGCTTTAGCTAGTTGATCTACTAGTTCATTATGGAGAATACCACAATGCGCTGGGACCCATTGGATAGAGGTATCATAACCGTTCAATCGATGTTCATGAAGAAGTTGAAGACATGGGTAAACAAACTCCTTGCACGTTTTTGAAGAGTACGTAATTGCTTGAATCGCACTCTTGGAGTCACTGCAGATTGTATATGTCCCGACTGGTAATGTTGTGATTATTTGGAGAGCTTGATATAAGGCATATAATTCAGCTGTGAAAACAGATAGTTGGTTTGGTAACCGCCATCCCTGCTTGAGATGGTATTCCGGTATCCATACAGCGCTAGTGACCGCGGGTACGTTGTTCTTGATGATGCGAGATCCATCTGTATAAATCGCTGTGGTATTTGGGTAGCAATTTTTCATTGTTGAGACAAAGACTGAGGCTGTGGCTGAGTTTGGTGCAGACTTTGGAATGTTGTCTTCGAGTTGTATTGCTGTATTAGGAGTTGTATAAAGCCAGGGTGGAATAGGGGGAACAGTAAGTTGGGTTTCCGAGTTTTGGAGTAGAGAGAGGTCTATATTGAGGTTATTTGTAGCCCGTGTGAGGAAAGGTTGTGAGTGATTGGTTGGGAAGCGGAGGTTATGTGGGTTAACTGTTGGGTTAATTTTTGATCTGTATGGGTGTGTCTGGTGAGCAGTGGTACAGAGTGACAGATAGTTGGCACACATTATGTCTCGTCTGGTGGCTAGGCTTGTGAGGCCCGTTTCCCCGTAAAGTCCGAGGATAGGAGTGGAACGCATTGCGCCACATATAAGTCGCATGGCATTGTTTTGGATGACCTCTAGGCTCTGTAGGTTAGTAGGCGCAGCCGATGCATATGCTTGGCAACAATAGTCTATTTGGCTGCGAATGTAGGTTGTATAGAAACGGAGCAGGATTTTATGGTGTGCTCCCCAGGTGGTGCCAGTGAGGGCTTTAAGTATGGCGAGTCGGAGTTGTGTCGTCTGTTTAAGGTGTTGAATGTGTGCTGTCCAGGTAAGTGAGGGCGAGTCTAAGTGCATGCCAAGGTATTTATGTTCTCGTACGTGTTGGATGGGAGTGTTGTGTATTGTGAGGGTGGGTAGATGAACAAGTCTTTTTTTAGTGAAAATTTGATAATAGGTCTTGGTAGTACTAACTTGAAGGCCCCATTGTTGTGTCCAATCTATGAGGTGGTCAAGTGCTGTTTACATTGTTGAGACTGTATTAGGTAAGGCGTTGTCTGAATAATACAGTGTTAAGTCGTCGGCGTACGCCGAGAGGTTAACAGGATGGGTGTTAGGCAAATCTGCTAAGAATGCAGCAAAAAGGGTTGGGCTTAGTATGGAGCCTTGTGGGACACCCGTTTGTATTGGGATGTCATCGGAAAACTCGCCTTGTATATAGACTTTAGAGGTCCTGTTCGTAAGATAAGATTTTAACCATAAAAGTAATCTTCCCTGTACGCCTAAACGCGCAAGCTTTGCGAGGAGGCAAGTATGAGGAATGCTATCAAAAGCTCCTTTGAGGTCTAAGTAGACAACAAGACAATATTTACTGCTTCTGAGAGAGGTGCGGATTTCATGTTCAAGGCAAAGTATTTGATCGAGTGTGGAGCATTGCGGTCGAAATCCAGCTTGGAGTGACGGTATAATATAATATATATTAGTATAATATAATATAATATATATAGTATAATATATTCTAGATACCATTGGAGGCGAGTATGTACTAGTCTTTCCATGACTTTACTGAGACATGATAGTAGGGAAATAGGTCTATATGACGCAGGTTGGGATGGATCTTTTCCTGGTTTAAGGAACGGAAGAATAATACTGGTCTGCCATTGTGAGGGAATATTTCCGTGAGTCCAGCATAGGTTGTAATAGTTTAGGAGAGTATTATGTGCAGTTGATGGGAGATGTTTTATGAGTTCATATGGAATTCCATCCTCTCCAGGTGCCTTGCCAAGAGGTAGGCGGGTTAAGGCTAATTGTAGCTCGCTTAAGGTGTATATGTTGTCGACGCCGGGCATGGGTAGCAGTATGGCACGGTCAATTTCTTGTCTGAGGGGGAGTTCTTGGGCATGAAAGAAGGGTGTTGAGAGGGTAACTTTAAGACATTCAGCAAGAACATTTGCACGCTCCTGAGGTGTTTGACAGAGTGAACCGTTGATCGTCAGGGGGAACGAAGGGAATGTTGGGCGACCTTTAATGCTGTTAAATGTAGCCCAGACTTTTGAATGTGGCGTAGTGGGTGTGAGGCTATCACAAAATTTTGCCCATGATGCTCGCTTTGCTGACAGTATGTTTTTTTTGGCTTCTGCTGTAGCCCGCCGGAGATTAACCCAGTTCTGTAGGGAGGGTTGACGTCTTTGTTTTTGTATGGCTCGTCGGCGTAAAGCGACTGTTCGTGCACATTCCGCGTTCCACCACGGTTTAAGTGGTTTGTTGGACCTATGTCCTGAAGTTTTCTTGAGCATTTGGGTGGCTGCACAATTTATGGCCGAGGTGATTGTGGACAGTCGCGTGTTGGGGTCTACATCGTCTGTATCTGGGAGACAGACAGTATCAGCCCATTTTTTCTTATCTAGTTTCTTAATGTTCCACTTGGGGAGCGTTAGGGGGTGGGTTGGTGGCTGAAAGTTAGTAAATTTTATAATGAGGGGTTTGTGGTCACTTCCAATATCTGGTCCAGTATGAAACTGTAGTTCATGTTGAAAGTGTGCAGAGCCAAAGCAGATGTCCAATGAGGCTTCATAATTGGTTCTGTAGTTAAAGTAGGTTGCAAGGTAGGGCGGCGAAAGAAGAATATATGGTGTAGTGTCTAAGTAGTTATATAAATCGGTGCCTGCAGTATTTTGGGCACCTCTACTCCATGTGGGGTGGTTTGTATTGAGATCACCTGTAACAATGATCGGTTGCCGTAGTTGGTTTAGATAGAATTCTAGTTCATTTAAATTTATTGTGCCACCAGGGTTGTATATACCCAGAAAGGATATGTGTGTACCATTGTAGGGTATTAGGCATGCTAAAATTTCTAGCTTACCATTTACAAAATGTGTAAGCGTTACAGGTTTACATGTCATGTTACTCCGTGTTAGGAGGAAAATACCACCACCCATACGGTTTGGTCTGTCCAGTCTCTGCATCTGAAAGTTTTTAAAAATAGGATTTTGTTTAGGGGTGAGCCAGGATTCGGTTATGAAAGCTAAGTCCGGTTTGGATGAGTAAAGGAATTGTTTAAGTTCTGTGAGGGATGTTTTAATGCTTTTTGCGTTCCAAGTCATGAATGTTAGGGGAGCCAT